TATGTGACTGCAAATAAGACGGGACTTTAAGTCCACAGAGATAGACGGGACTATCACCACAGTGGTACTGGAGACACTGGGCAGTGTTGTCCAGTGGTAAAATTCATGTGTGCACTATCTGTGGTTATGAGGCTAAGCAGTAACCATCATTAATACATGGCCGTCTCACGAACCACAGCGATCTATCCTTTGGGAACTCAATATAGGGATTCTTACTAGTTCTGAAAAGAAAGGAAAATAATATATTGGACTGTAGACCATCCAGAATCACACGTATCCCATGAATTCTAGTTTCTCAGCTTTCACTGCATTTCTGAAAATCCTGAAGCTTTCCAAAATGGCAATTCAGCTTAGTTTTTGTGCCCTTATCATTTTAACAAAAAATAATCAGGATCCAGCTGATGTTTCATAAGCTCCACCTTTGCAGTGATTTTTTTTTCCTTTATCCTTATCTATTTCTCATCACACTGGAGTCCTATGTTTTTATGGTTATGTTTTAACCATCTGGCTTTTTTTCTTTTTCTTCTCTTGGCAAAAAAGGCTCTTATAGGCAATAAATTCCCTACAAGGTTTGTTTCCAGATATAACCATGGCAATCTAGTAGTTTGTTAAGCAAACCAGCAAGCAAAAGCTCTGGGCTCTCCCAGAGAGCCTCTGCTTGGCCCAGGCCACTCAATTAAAGGCAATGATGTGCGGCCAAGGATTGCTACACTGAAAATGTCCCAAAGAAGTTACACAACAGGCAGGATCTGGGGATTTGGATCACATGATCTCAACCTCAGATCCTGCTCAGGCAATGCTGAGTCCTGATGTCCACATCTATTAAATTTGTTTACTAAACTGTCTCATTATCTATTTTGTGTCAGGATTTCTTTAGGGTGTGGTAAAATTGGACAGATGGGCTTCAAAACCTTCCTTCAGGCATGGAACAGTCAGGATTGGACAGATGGGCTTCAAGAAGTTACCTTGAGGCCTCAAACACATGGGAAAAGAAAGAGGAAGGGAAAGAAATGTTCACTCCTGGTTTTACAAATAAGCACAGAAGCCAGGATAAGACGTGGGAAACTTGGAGACTTTCTACCTACCCACTATCTTCACATCTGATGCTAAAGCAAGAATATTTCTCCAGAAGAAGCTGCACTAAAATTCAACAGCTGCAAATACCTGCTTGGCTTTTAATATCATTACTACTCACCGATATGCTGGAGGGGAGTTCATGCAGCAAACAAGTGCCTCAATGTTTCTTAAGTGTTTTAGCAATGAAAACATGCTTTTTCATAAAACCAATAAGAAACCACATTTAAACTACAGAAGACTGTAAGTAAGAAATGACTGAGATTCTTTTAAGCATATATATATTGACCTGCCAGATTAGGCTTTCAAACCTTTTCTTTTCTCCACAGAGAGTAGTGAAATAACTCTTTTTGCTAGTACTGTATTAACTAAACAGTCCCTTGAGATTAACGACAAGCAAATATTGGAGCAGGCTTCCTCAGGAGGTGATTACACAAACAAATTCTCGTTTTAAAGTTCATAAAACCAATTTTGAGAAAGGTCAGGCAGTGATCAACAGTGTGATCCCAGCATCCTAAGGATTCCTGTAGGTAAATGCAATGCCCAGCTTTAGGAGCCTTGATATTTAAAGGGAAATATGCAAGTAATTACTTTTGGAGGGGGTTAGGAAAGATCCTGTTTTTGCAAATAATGTGAAATGGCCCCAGTGACATTGGAGAGCCCTAAAGGTAGGACCATTGCAAGGTAGCACCTCTGTGAAGTCCTGGTACTCATCTGTGCAGAGGGATGAGAAGAACAAACACTGTGAATCCACCAGTGCCAGCTTTACGCCATAGGAGGATTTCCAGGCACTCTGGGGATTCCTGGTCATTTTATCTATGTTGGTTTTAAATACCTCTATGATGCTAACAGGTGCCTCACTAATGCTCACAGATACCAGGCACTGCCTGAGAACAGAGTAAGGGAGAGTCTGCCCTGAGGAGTTGCAGCCTCATAAAGCAGCCCCACGTGAAGCAGAGAGGGCTTTTATAAGCCCAATAAAATCCAATCCACAGTGAAATCAAGAGGAGTTTTGCCACTGACTTCAGTGAGGTGAGGATTGCACTGTAACGTGTTTCTATTAAATAAACTGGTAATTAGCCCCAATGGATAATCACTGTGCTTAATACGGACATTTTCAGTGTCCACTCTGTAGACGGTCATAGAGCTTTGGAGTATTAGGATGGTCAACATGTTTGTGCTAACAAAACACAGTCGTTCTTCACGCTTTTTCGTGTTTATCCAGAGCAGAAACCAGCCCCAGGTACCCAGGAGAGGAGCTGCTCACTCACCCACTTTCAGTGTGCCCCCCATCACCACGATGCAGGCGGCGCTCAGGACATTGCTGGAGTTGCTGGGGAACTCCAGGGTCCCCAGGATGTAGAGACCCCTCAGAGGGGGAAGCGCCGTGTCCACCAGGATGGTTCGGTCTGAGGAACAAAACAGAGGGTTATTCACAACCTGTCAAAAGTGGCACAGAGGTGGAAAAGGGCAGAATATTGCCACTGCCTGAGTTTAGCTTTACTTCAATCTTTTTTTTAATTATTTTTGCCTAAAAAGAAGACAGCTAGGGATCGTGTGCTTGCACAGCATCCACAAGAGCTTCATCTGCTGCTGAGGCTCCATGGTGTGACTGCAATCTGATAATAAATAGTAACATAATATTTATAATGATATTGTTGTGTGATTAAGTTTCACCAAATGCTACTTGAAGCTGTAAGAATGCCTGTGAAGTGTAGGAAGCTGGAGACATGCTGGCCTCTCTGGATGAATCTGGCTCTGCTTTGGAAAGTAAATCTTGATCATCCAATGCAATGAAGAAAGAATAAATTTATCCATGTCCAGAGAGCTTTTTTCCTCATGGTATGGAAGAGAACAAGAGTGAATGAAAAAACATACAACCGTGTCAAATAGTCATAGTGACACTGGTGACAAGGTGAAGGTGCATATCACAACCCACCTCCAACAATTCCCTGTCACTGCTCTTCTCTCTCTGCAGTTTGGCTTTGTTCTTGGGTTTGCAAGAGAAAAGTTTTGCGGAAGTCAACACAATCTGCAAGAGGCTGAATTTCCCTTATTCTTTATTCACAGTCCTACTCATTCCTTATCAATAACTTAGTTAGCAGCAGCCAGGGGAGGCATCATTCCCTCAGATTCATAAGGGTAAAGTATGGAGCATAAGTCACTTCTGACCCCATTTCCAGGCACTTTGATCCCTGCTTTGACCAAGTCACTTCTGACCCCATTTCCAGGCACAGGATGATGCTACAACTATGTTGCAGCACTGGATGTCACCAGAAATCAATTTGTGACCTCCTATACTGGTTCCACTTTAAAATATAATTAAAGCAACATTAGGGAACCTGTCTGGTTGAGAACACAGGCCTTAGATACAAGGGCTTAAATTTTACTGCAGGTCACACACCAACCTCTGTTGCCATATTCCTCCACATCCCTCCTTCCCATCAAGCATCATTTCAGGCTGGAACTGCCTTTTAATGTATATTTTTATGTTGCAGAGCAGAGCTGATGATGACTGGGCACAACAGCAATGCCACTGGTGCCTCCTCAAGATGCCAGCTCGTGGCCTGTGAACCATTTAAGTGTCACTTTTGCTTTCAAAACAGAACATGAGTAATGACTGAAGTGGTGCATCATTTAGGGTAGCCCACAGAAGTCAATTGCATCTTCAAGGCCTATCTAATGCTTTTTAAAATTATTGGGAGCAATTCAGTTTGCAGGGGAGACCAGCTCAGGCCCTTTAATTGTGGTTTCCAGCTCATTTCATTATTCAGAGGAGTAACAGCTTCCCGGTACAGCAGCTCTCTGAGTCACTGCGTGGCCCTGGAAGAATAAGAAGCAAAAACTCCTAGCAGAGAGTTCAACAAGATGCTGCTATCCAGGGCTTTTCTGTGGTGCAGAAGCTGTGCTTAGGATCTCATTGTGACTTCCATAGAAATAGTTTGCAGAAAATGAGATTCTTCAACATAATGACAGCTGTCAACTCCTACCCAGAGATTTGCTGTGGATTCCCTTGATCTCATATTCTTTACTGCAAGGCGAAGATTCACAAAACAGGACAGATTAAGGAACAAGCAGATTTTACAATGGATTTTGTCAAAGCAGTGAGAATGGGGTACTTGAAACAGTTTTGGTCTGGAACACGGGAAAAGACATGCAATATCTTAAATAAATTGGCAAATGAACAGTTTTGCTTCTCCCTATAGCCATAAGAAGCTGCTTTGGAGGAGGAGAAAAATAACCATGCAATAGGTAGTGCAAGAAAAGTCTTTCCCCCAAAACAAATAATTGGAACTCGACTCAAACCATGCAGCATAAAGGCTTATCAACTCTTCCAACCCCTGCTTGTAGAAAGATTTAGGTTTTTTTACCATTTAGGGTTTACTGAGCCCTGTGAACCCTGCAGCAGTGCATTTATCAACCTATCTGAGTCATGTGAAAGCAGGGCTGGAAGTTAGAATGTTTTTCCCTGATCAGTCTGATGTCCACAGTAGGAGACAAAATGTTCTGTATCATTTGAAGGCAGAGGTACAAGGCTTTTCATTACATCTGAAGAACATCCAGAAATTCTGCCTTATTAAGGACAAACTCACACTCTGTCCTTGTATAAGCAAAACTCCTGCTGACTGCAAAGACAAATTAGCTTTGGAGGTCTGATGTTGTCCCCATCAGGTGAGATAACTGCAGCTGTCAAACAACAGCCGTAATCCAGCCAAGAAATGAAGGAATCTTTATTTATTTAACTAAATCTAAAGATAACAAATGCAATCATCCAGGCTGATGTACCAAGGGACCACGATCCCTGGGCAACATGATTCCTGGGATGAGCACATGCAATCAGGGCCTACTTTTTGCACTTCTCTCTGCATGGCAGACATAAGGTTTAAGATAAAACCTGAGGTCTTCATAGATCTTTTCTTTTTTTGTCTACACACTGTCCTATGTCCCTGAGAGTCCTCAGGGAATCACCCTGAAAAGCACCATGATGGTCCTTGCTGGTCTTGTTGTGATATGCCATAATGTAATAAAGACAGCACAAAGTCCACTCAGGAATGGACTGAATAGAAGGTGAGCAGATATTGGCATTTACTAGCTTTTGATTTTTTGGTTTTGAAGCCTTAAAATTTCACAAGTGTTTGGGGAGAGCAAAGCACTGGATGCTCAGAGGTCCCAGGTCTGCTTACTGGTTTGTTTCTTCTGCACACATGGTCCTAGTCTGACCTCCTTTTCCTGTATTCTCCCACATCTTGCTTTCCCCACTTTGGTTTTCTTCCTGCTCTCTGGATATCAGCAAAGGACACACTGAGAGCCCAGGATACACCGTGCCTCTGTTCTCAAGGACTATACCAAGCATCACCAGAACCCATGGCTTTCAGAAAGCCCTGGTTGAAAAGAAACTCCTTGAATCTTTTGGGCTGAAGCATCCTTCAGGCATCGAAGTTTTTCACAGCTTTCAGATATAATAAGTCTCTACAGAGCATATGCAATCTGCATTTTTTCCCTAAATCTCATAATATGAGAACATTTTCACAGGCATGAAGAAACTCCTGTGTATAATCTCTTTACAGGACAGGCATAGTCCTATGCCCTGCAGAACTGAGAAGGAAAAGCACAGTATGTGAGGATGGGAAACAGAGAGAAGAGAATAAGGGGGAAGACGTTGTTGAAATGATATCTCTCAGGCAGAAGGGGAGTCTAGTTTGTGAACTCACAGCTCAAGAATGTGGCAAAAAGCTGCAGTTGACAAAGGCCATAAGTATATTCATCAAACACAGACTGAAACATTTTTACAAGGAAAAAAAAAAGAAAGAAGTGCTCCTAGGCATACCATTTATATGTCAAGTTTCAGTCTAGAACAGATATTTTTGCTGAGTTGCACATCTTTCTAAAAAAGACTTTAAAAAGGAAATGCTGACTGCTTTGTAGCTGTAGCATCATGGGTGTGAGCCGTGAAACAACAACAGGAGAGAGAAATTCTCCCATGCAGAGATATTTGTGCAAACCTGGGATTTCATCAGTGTAAACAAACAACACTTTGGTGTGTGATGCTTTGGTGTGTGAAATCCTAGCAAAGTGCAATATTGCTCTGCATAAATAACAGAAGGCTCATTGGCAGACAAAAAAAAAAGAAAAAAAAAAAAAGAATAGGAGAACAAAGGTCCTTCCACACTTGAGAAGAAAAACAAATGGAGTCAAAGGAGATTTTTCAGGATTAATAAGGTCCTTACAGAATACTTCCAGTTATGTAATAGAGGGAGGTGGCTACTAAGGGGTTAGAATGATAAGCTTTAGGTCACAAGGTTTAAGTGATTCACCTGCAGAGAGAAACAAAACTGACTTTTTTTCTCCCATAAATACACTCACATAATAATAAGCAAGGTTTTCAGAAAGGAATAATTCAAGCCTGAAAACAGGGCTATGTTTCATTATATATATACTTTCTCCAGACAAAACCTCACAGGTATGCCACAGTCTTAATGTTCAGATGTACAACACTGAAAACTCACTAATGACTCCAGCAATGACACAAAATGCCTTTGATCAACCACATTCCTGTATAAAACGCTATAGCATGCCATTGAATGGAAATCAGGCACAACAGAAGAGCTATTATATGAGATACAGTACTCCAGCATTCATCTCTTCAAACAGAAAAAGTTCAAAGAAAATCAAAATCAGAAAATGAATAACAGAGTGAATTCCACCATTAAAAAAAAAAAAAGAGAGAGAGAGAGAGAGAGAAAGAAGAGAAGAGAAAAGAAATTGCCAGCGGCTACGTGATATCATACCAATACCCTTCAAAACAACATTCCAGCGCCTGGAATCGTAACACGTTCTCCTTCCACACAGAGCGTGCTGTGTCAGGATGTGTCATACTGAAAACCATAAACCGAAGCCCTGAAAATCCAAGGGGCTTGAGGAGCTAATGCCACTGCTGGCTGCCAGAGTGGCATGACTAAACTCATCCAGCTTGTTTTTCGAGGTGGTGCAACTGCTGAGAACTCGTGCAGAGGAGAGGGTCTTGTGTGACGACTGCAGTTCTGGTGATGAACCTCCAGAGGGAAAAGCACAAGTTCTTCCAGCTTGAGCTAAAGCTTTCCAGCTAGGACAGAGGGATATCCAATAGGGAATCAGATGCTGAGGGGACTTGTAACACACAAACCTTAAAAGTTACCTTAACATGATAGACCAACTTCTATTGCATGCACACTCTAGTGAAGGGGTTAAGAGATAGTTATGGATGATACCAAAAGCAGAGTCAAAGAGTATGGCTAGAGGATGCACATGCTCCACTGAAATTAGCAGAAAATGCTGCTTGCCTTTTTGTTCTTAACTGTTAAATGTTTTGCTGTGGTTTAACCATTCAATAAGGCTCTTCTCTAGAGCAGAGGCAATTTTATTCCAAACTTTGGAGCATCCTACACAAAGTAGCTGATCACTAGGATTCAGGACCAGGAAACTGAAGTATCTCAGACGGCTCAGGCATTGACTTGTATTCTGGTATTGAGTAACATTTATCATCGACTCCTTACAAGCACAAAACATTCCCGTCCAGGGAACAACACAGATCATGTAAAACTGTTCCACTCCTACCCTGTAGCCTCCCAACCAGTAGGCACCATTATGCCAAATACACTGTCCCATACACTGCAAAGACTCCTCAGTTCATCTGACGGAACCAGAACTGCTCTAAATTCTGGTGATGTTTGTTGTGACCCAAAGGCTGTATGGCCATGCTAGCACAGTGCACGGTCTGAGCTAATGAGCCCTCCATCTCAGGAGGGCTAATTAGTGTATCAGCACACTGATGCAGCTGTGCTGTTTGCAATTCTAGAACGAGATTGGCCGGGCTGGGCTGTAGACATCTCTCAGCAGCGCTTTGGACACGACTGATGTGTGACGGGCCTTGCCTCATCTGACAAGAGCCAAGGTCAACGTCTTGCATGGCGGCTAAAATGAGATGGTCTGCCAGGAGGATAACACCCAGCTCTGCAAGAAACACCATGGAGTTGGATTCACAGGTGAGTCAGCAATGCAGTAAAGGACTAACAGAACCTTAATATTCTGTTTGCATTTTCTAATCTAAATAATATTTTTTTCTTTTATTTTATACTTCATTGTAGGTTGTGCTTTACCTCCTATGATTGCCTGGGCATATCCTGTGTAATCAATCTGAGGTAAGTACAGAGGTCTAAGCTACCAATGGCAGAGCTGTGCTTCTTCATTTCTGCCTTTGACTCTTACAGCTTTGGAAAACTGAAATTCTTTGGTCTTTTAAGACTCATTTGCTATAAATCGGGGCAACTGGTAAACTGGGTATAATGTGATGCACAACGAATTATCGGGCACGGCCTTATGGCCATATTCTCTAGGATGCATGAAGAATGAAGTACACATAACCCAAACAGGAGGATCAGGCAGACAGCAAATCCCATGGGAAATGGCTCATTACAGGAGCCACTAGCAGAGATATGGACCTTTGCAGCGTGATTTAGAGGATCCCAAGTTAGGCTGTTGTCTCAGGTGCTCCTGAGCATGGTCCACCGCAATGAGATTCAGATCTCACCTGAAATGAGCTGCCTATGAGAACTAGTTGTTTAGGCTTCAAACATAGCTGACTCATTTAGGCATTTAATGTTATCTGAAATACATTTGGCTATTTGAGACCTCTGAACAGCACAGGCAAATGTGGCATAGGAGAGACCTGTGCCAATTTGGGTGACCCCTGGATGACAGGCAGGATGGTCCTAGGGTGTCTCAAAGGACAACAGATACCTTCATATTAAAAACTGACTTGACCTCTGGAGCTCTATTTAATACTATCAATAAATCCTAAAAAGCAATCCAGTTCACACTAAAGTAGATGATAGCCACATTTTATCACCTCAGTAACTCTTCAGGCTTCACTAACTGTGTTGACCAGTAACAGTTTCAGACGCCTAAACATAGACTGATACTGTCATTTTGGATGGGCAATCACTTGGAGCTGGCAAATAGAATATAGGGTCTACACGAGAGCAGCAAAGCTCTCGAAGGATATCTCTGGCTCTTCTGGGCTCTGACTGTACAAATATTTAATGAAATGTATTCATTAGTGGTAGTCAGATAATGGAATTAATACAAATAGATTGTGCTTGTTTGACAGGAAATAGGAAACTAATAAGAATAGTGTAAATTATCTATTTCCTAATTCACTGTAAATTCTCCTCAAAAACAAAGACAAGCATTACTCTAGGATGATACAGGATCAACCCCTTTGTCAGAAGACTGAAGATTTCTTTATTTCGCCTGAAATTACATACTAGATTCTAATAACTTACTGTCTGAACAAATGAGGAGAGAAAGCCGAGACTGAGTCCACTTCACTTAGTCTTTCCTCCTTGTTCTTGTTGTCACTCTCATGGGCTTTACTATATAGATGACATTATTTTTGATAACACAGAGGAGCATAGAGGAGTCCTAACTATGGGCTCAACTCCCAAATGCCAGTACATACCAATGGAAATTTCCTTCTACATAAAGACTTCATAAGCCAAAAATAGGTGTGAGAGGCATGAAGCATTCCCTATTTCCAGAAGTGTAATTGAGGCAGATAGATGGATTTACATGGTTTCTCACAGAAGTTTTGAGCATGAGCCAACAAACGGTACTGAGCACGTACACAGCATTCACAGGGTTATTGCATAATTCAGGTTGGAAGGGACTTCAGGACTTCACATCATGTAGTCCAACACTAGGGCTCATCTAGTCCAAAGACCTGTTCAGAGTAGGATCAACTATGAGGTGCCATAGTTATCACAAATTTTATCCTCCAGATTTTACTGTAGATTATCTAATAATCAAAGTGCTTTCATGCAATAAGGTTGTAAACTAAGCATGATTTAAATGTATCTCAGGTCTGAGGTTGAAATACCAACACAGGCTAAAACATCTAGGAGGCATCCACTGTACATGGTTTGAAAGACAATCATTGACAATCGAGGATATGGAACAGAAAAATAAAATGGAAATTGGTACAATTGTGGAAACATGAAGTATGCACAAAAACTCAGAGAGATCAGTCAAGAAATGATCTCTGTGTGAGCTCTGATTCTGAGTCTAATAGATTCTGTGCTCTGGAAAGAAAACCCTTGCTCAAAATCAAGCTGGAATATCGGTGTGGGTAAGCAAGTTTGTGTGTGTGTGTTTTTGTGTATGTGTAAATGGAAAAGAGTGAGTATTCTTTTCCAAAAATCACACTTCTGTGCTATAGCTTAGAGCAAACATGACTAGGAACAAATGTGCTGGCCTGCATGTACCAGAATGGACACCAATGCCAATGAGCACGTTGCAACACAACGATCTGTCCTAAAGTAGACAGGTCCCACCATCCATCACTAGAGAAATTGAAGACTATTCCTTCCCTACTTACTAGGTAAGATGATGACATCTTCCCCCGCGCCAGGGATGCTGCTGTTGGATCCACCCCAGCCTTTTCCCACGTCATTCCACGTCTCCGGATGTGACCATTTCAGGACAGCATCAGAAGGAACTACAAAACAGTATATACAAAGACAGAATTACCATTTTTGCTAGCTGAAAGAATTATCTTTGATAACCAGGCATCTGTGGCATTAACATCCTGATGCATGATGAAGCAACACTAACTGCATTTTGGAATATCGCACACTTTAAGAAAGCTGCCCTACTGAAAAACAGTTGGCTTTCCCAGGATCATCTTTGCAGAAATAAAGAACAGTGAGATAACTTGGAAAAAAAAAACAAAACAGTATCAAGCTCAGTGGGACTTACCAAAAGCAAAGAAAAATTCAAGGTATGTCATCGCACTTACCCTATGTTCTACTTTGTGAATATGCTTGACAATCATCTGCTTCATTTATTTTTATTTATGCCAGCCAAAACTCTGAGCACTTTGAGCATAAAGTCAAAATGCACAAATGAAAATGAAATTTAGTCATCCATGCTTCCTGGCAAAACTAGGCAATTACAAAAAAAAAAAACCCCCCCAAAAAAAAAAAAAAAAAGGAAAAAAAAGAAAAAGAAAAAAAGAAAGTGCCAGCTCTTCTCACATGCTTTTTCTCCTCCGGTGCTCTAAGAAAAAGATTAAATTCTTAGGGTGAGATAAAATATGCAAGATTTTCAAAATGGAGTAATTGGCTCTTACAATGTTGAAAGCCCATAAGAAAGCAGAAGTCTTCCCATTTCACGAGGTAATGAAGACCTGACTTGGGACACATGGCAACTCTTGCTGATTCCACAAAGATTTATTTTTCAGCTGAATCTAAAATGAAACTTATCATCCTAAAATACCGGGAGAAATCAAGTTCACAAAATTTAGGTCCTTAACTTGCACTTCAATTTCAGACAGCTAATGAGCCAGTCTTCATAAATTAATTGCCTAAATTGGCTTAGCCTGAAGCCTGTACATGAAGTTTAGTAATGCCTAAATCAACGCAGTCAGGGCCTCCCTCTGGAGGCCTCGGCAAGCACCTACCTCTATCCTATAAAAGACTATAGGGGAAAACCTGGTATTTTTACTTGAGGAGGGCTTCATTTTATGTTTAAAACACAGGGAAAAGCTTATATATAACTAAGATGGACTAGAACTCACTATCACACTGCGCAGCAGAAAAACCTTGCAAGCTTTCTGCTACCAATTTAGGGAAGCACAGAGAAATTAACGGCAGGCAGAGCTCTTCAAGGCAAGGTCTGCCTTTCCATTACTTGTCTATTTGAGAAGAAATACTCTGTAAAAGGATCTCTAAGGTCTGCCAGGTCAATGATTCCTGTTGTTAATATGCAGCAAGGCAGTTATGCACCTGAAACCAAATTTTGGACATCTCCCCTCTCTGGTCTATTATGCTGACTCAATGTATAACTGGGCAATAACGTCAGACTATTACACTAAGATCATTCTGAAGCACTGAAATACATTGTAGTCTTATATTCCCCATGACCTTTCTGATCTGCTATGGTATTTCTTAACAAAAGTTTATAGTCTTTTATAATGTGGATTCACACATTTGTCATGAGCAATGGTAGATAGGGCTCAATGAAATGCTTAAATGAATGCCAAGAAGCCCTGTTGGCTTGATAGATGTGCAAAATATTGAAGTGAAATATAACAACATATATATTCTGGAAAATAGTAGTAAAAGGGAAGTAGTGTGATACTCAGAACAAACCTTTCAGCCAGAGACTGTCACGTACCTGATATAGGTAACGGCATTCTCTCTTTCAGTGTAACCTGAATTAAGTCAGCTCCTGTGACTGAACACAGAATTGCAGGAAGTTACAAAAATTGATAGTAAATCAATTACTACATGTAATTTTCTGACATAATACATTACTATTTGTTGTTGTTGTTAAGAACTACATACATTTTCTAAGCATTTTTTTAATTTTTGTATTTTGATAAAGGATTAAACAAATACATTTTAATTTGCAGATACTGGGGCATCTCTTAACTAGTTAGAAAAAGCTAAAAGAATATATTCAACAATCAGAAATTCTAGGTTGGAACATGCATCTCATTTATCTCACTAAAAATCCACAGCAGCTTCACTAGCACAAGTGTTGTCACACACGTAAATGCATAATGTATTAACTGGCTCAAATAATAAATTACAGCTTTTTTTTGCAGTTCGGTTTTGAGGGTTTTTTTTTTTTTTCAAAACTAGTATCTAAAAGAGATGCTTTAATTAGCCAGACTTAGACAGAAGACAGAGACCCTGTGTTCTCTACTGTGAAAGGAGGTCAGAAGCAATTATCACAGCTGTAACCTTTCCACCAATATATTGTCAGCAGGAGAAGGGTTGGAATAATGCAAATCAAGCCAAGAGCAGTGGCAGAAAACTCTGCATCAGACCCAGCTAAAAGGCTACCTTTTCTTCATCTCCAGCAGCATATAAAGGCAATTCAGCCACAGACTGGAACAATCAGGGGTTAAAATAGAAACACTTTGACAAACAAATAAATCTCCTGTGCACTGCCCAACCCATTAGGGCGCCTCGAAAATGTCACTGGAAGATTTTGGGGGTTGAAGACTTGTATAAATGAAGCTATTGTCAGAACTTCCCTCAATTCCAGAACACACCAGGAACTTTCCTTCACATATATCAATGCACCAATGGGATTTCATGCCATATTGTAATTTACTTATTTTATCTTTAAACAAGTCTCTGTACTTTTAAATTGTGAGAATCCTCCTTCCACACCTCCCTCCTTTTCTCCCAGTGCAACTGAGCAAATTTAAAATAACGGAGGCTCATTAATTTTAAGTGTTCAATAAATTAGTATGAATAATCAAAAAACTTGATTCTTTCTGATAATTACTATTTGATGTCAGTTGAAAGCACTCGATTGAGTTAGCAGCATATGCTCCTATGCCAAATGAGGCTTCCATAATTAAATAGAAACTGATTCCATGAGGTTTTTCTCGTGTCTGATTAATTAGTAATCAGGTGCCTCAGCCGTGTTCTTCAGCGACACCTTCTCTCCCAGTGGTAGCTATGTTCTGATCCGTATTCACTGAACCCAGTCTGCTCCAAAAATTCATAGAGAACTGGAACTGAATCACATAATATTGCTGGATGGCCACAATACAAACCTTTTAGGAAAAAAAAAGTGACATGAGGCAGCTAATTTAAAGATTTTGGCACAGAGTTTATGTGCCGTTAACACGATACTCTTACATGGGTGCTTCTCTCCCCTAACACTGACCCTTGCAGATAGCATTAGCCTCACCTAACACAAAATGGTTGCAAACTGGTCAGCCTGGACTCCAGGATTGTTACTGGAGGCATCTCAAGAGAACTGTTCGTCTTTCTTGTAACAACGAGGAAGAGATGTGTTATCAGTGAGGTTCCTCCCTCTCTCCCTTGACTATAAATGTGAGCCAGGGTAGGCATAAATAACTAAGTTTTAGATGCCTGCATCAGGTGAAGTTAATCACCCTAGCAAAGCTACTCCTCTAGGCTACCTTGGCAATCAAGAGCGAGAAACTGGCACCTTCAGAGCTGCGTTCTCTGATCCTAAGAAACAACAACCGACTGCCTTGAAGGGCTAGTTTTGATCTTCTTTTCTATTTATGGTGGCCTTCCTTCTCTTCTTACTCATAACAAGGCAAATCAGGAGTCAAAGGTGTTCAGGGAAAGGAGAAAACCAAGCTCTGACACTATATAAATATGTATATAGGTAATAACTTTTTCTTTTTTTCCTGATTTTGCAGGAACTGCAGTGTAATTCTCTAATTAAGAATGTTTGTTTTGCTCAAGGAAAAGCTCTCTTCCTTTCTGACATAAACTTTTACTGATATACTACGTAGACCTCATAAAGTGGTTCAATCTACACAGTAAAGAAAGGAACGTTGTCACTCAGTACAGCCATGTTCTGAGTCAACGCAAGGACAAAAGTTTCTCATATTTTAAATGTCATACAACCACACAGGATGACAATTCAAACCATTAAAAGCCAGCTATGCGCTCTGCATGAGTAAAAGAAGTGGGGATGAATCCCCCACAACCCACAACTTGCGCAATTATTTATGTCAATTGTATGCAAACTGCAATGGCTTTGAAGCAACAGTATTTTATCATCCACTATGTTATTTTCCACTCCTAATGCATGATCAAAGCAGGAGAGACACAAGACTTGAAAATAATCAAGACAACAGCAACATGTTTCTCTTGGTTGTTTTGTTTAGCTATTGAGCACATTATCATTGTTTTTGTACAAGACAGGAAAAGATACAGGCAATACAGATGAAGGACATCATTAGTAAACATTGAATTAAGGTGACTCTTTACAAAATGTAGTTATAAGGCTCCAGGGTTTAGCTGTATAAAACCTTTATAAGGTTCATCAATTTTATGTCTTACTACAGCTCCTCCTGGATGCTTGGGCTGTGAATCATAAATATAGGCCTGCTTGACTATATTCCTGGTAACTTTCTTCTGGTTTAAGCCTCCTTAAGTGAACATGAAGGAGGAGCAACCCAGTCTTCCATCAGCTTTGCAGTGACAGGGAATTTTGCCTCTGGATATTAGGAAAGGTTGAAACTAGGATAAATGGATCCAATAGCCCGACTTACAAATAACAAACAACCCTGTGCTATTTAACATCAATTGGGCTAATATATATCACAAAGAAATCAAAACTTTTAGACACCACAATAAACAACACAGCAAGATACATTATTGGAAACGGGAATACCTGGACTAGGATATTTGGCCATCCTCTGCCAAGGACTTGTACAGAATGTACGCAGGAATATAAACTGTGGGAATGTTGCAGTGAGGAGTAGAGATGGAGACTGGTTCTTGCTTACAGTATATTAACATTGGGAATGACAGAGGTGAAGACATGAAATTCTTCCTGCAGACATCACATAGAGCAAAGATCATCTCTGAAAGGATTACTGAGGTATTTCATTATCTTATTTCTATAATTTCCTCATTCTCTGGCCTCTCTGCTGACATGCCAGAAGGACAGCTGCTCATCTTCCAGGGTTTTTCTCTTTGTGTCAGTTACTGAGGACATTTATTTCCTAAGAAGCAAGGTGAACATATGCATCTCATCACACAGAAATGGTTGTGCAACCCACATCTGGTCCAAGGACCTCCTGAAACAATTGGCATAGTGTGAATTTTAACTAAGTGGAAGAAAAGATTCATGCCTGTAGAATCAGTCCCCTCACAGAGATTAGCTCTATTTTCATGTCTTTCACCTAGGATTCCCCTTTATCCCTGATCAATAAAGATGAGGAAAAATATTCTGTTTCTTTATTTTCTATATTTCAATATTAGAAACAAATGTTCTTAAGGGCTTGCTTTTCTTCTGTACAAAGCAAATACAGAACCACCAAGTAGGTGGGATGTAGAAATGGAAGTGAGATCATTCATTTGGAATTTATAAAGACAATAAGTGTAATCAAATTATTTTTTCTGAAGAACTATGGAAACTGCAGACCAGCTTCTGACACAGCAGTAATTCAAGGTTAGGCCCCAGGCCTTCCTAACAACTCACACATGAGTAGCCTGAGCAAAGTCTGCAAGATGACTCGTCTCCTTAAAAGTTATATCTACTGAAAAATGCATTTGGGGTAAATGAAAATTTTGATAATGCTTTCAGCAATGTTTTCAATAATGTTGTGATGTGCACTTCAACTTTACAAAAAGGTGGGAGGAGACCGCAGTGGGTCAAAAGATCTTACTGTAAAAAGAAGGCAAAAAGAAATATCACACTGGGACAATGGAGACATTTTTAGGAGAAATATCTTGTGTGAATCACAATAATCACATTCCGAGCTTTTTAAGTCTGTTACAAATATGAGCATATGGTACCACAGCATGGTACTGCTCCCTGGTTAAGGTCTCTGGGCAATACTGGAACTGGATAAAAAGCAGAGAAATTCTGTTTCTTTTCCATTAACTTTTGAAATCTTTAAACCATTTCCTTTTGGAATGAAACAGAGTGTTGGCTTGCTCTAAGATCTTTTGACTCACTGCGGTCATGTCTCATGAAGACCACTCTCTTGATAGATGGTTGAGCCATAACAAAGAGGTACATGCACTTCAGGGCCCATCAAAGACCTCTGTGGAACACTTCCCTTAGGACATGGGGTTGCCCCCAGATAAAATCAGGATGGTGCTTCTAAGACTTAATGTACAAGAAAGGTCACAGACATGGAAATTAGTTGAGTCCGCAGGTTCCCTCAGCACAGGATGCTCCAAGCCTCTTCATCTCTCCTTCACATAGCATCTACAGCAAAGGGATGCTATCTCTTCTTGATACCAATTTTTCTGCATGGCCTAGAAATGCTGTTTTCAAAGGGATCCAGTTAACAGGATTGGTCTGAGTAGGCAGCAGCAAGCACCTTGGTTAACAGGATCATCGCAAAACACTTGATCCCAGGTTCCCTGTCCATTACAGTCTATTACAATTATTGCTCCACATCCAGAGCCCTTTACATTGCCCCATGCAAGGTGTGACTTACAGAAGCACAGGCCCACAAAGGATCGGGGCAACGTAATTCCTTCACTCCCCTCCTACAGTTTGTTTTCTTGCCTTTTGCATCATGCATGCGTTTCTTCTCTCCCAAGAGAGAACACATGTGCGGCACATGTGCGCGATGCTGGGCCATTTCCCCACCTGACCTGACGGGGGGCACACACCAAACACTCATGACGGACCCAAATCACGGTCCAAGGCGGTTCTGTTCAGCTGCCTGCTTCATTTCAATAACAATAACCTTCCCAGCAGCGTCCCTGCCTTCTCCCCCATGTGGTCCCAAGCAAAAGCCTGTGTGAATTGAGGAGCCTGCTCCTAAATGGGCCAGCATCTGATAACGCATTTACCGGTGTTAATTTTGCATTTAACGCACCCCTGCCACTTCCCAGCAGTGTGCGTCCCACGGCCTCCCCTGGCGCCGCACAAAGGCGGCGGGTCAGAAGTAAGTTGACCTGGGGCAGAACGTGCGATTATGGCAAGCGACGGCGCGCGGGCAGCTGCGGAAACCCCGCTGGCAGCGGCGAGGCACTGCCCAGAAGTCAGGGCAATACGGACAATACGCCCGGCGCGCTCCCCTCGGCGCCACCACGTTTTCCTCGTGGCAAGAGCAATGGCCTCGCGGCGGCCAGCGGAGCCA